AAAACCATCTCCTCAGTTCAAACCTTTCCAAGCACTAGCTTGACTGAGTGATGTTCATTTCCTGTCTTCCTAAACAGAGTAGCCAGCCCTTGTCCTCACTCTTGTGTGAATGAAGGAGTCCATGAGAACAAAGGCTGGGCTGTGGAGCTTCCTCTTCTGGTGGGAACCCAGAGGTGAAGAAGCAGAGCAAGAAAAGGAATGTGCCATGTTAGCCCTTTGCAAAGACTTGTTTGATTTCAAAAGGAGCAGGATTGGGCCCGTGCATGGATCAAGATCTGCTGAACTGCTTTTTCTTGGATGTGCCTTTGGACCATGTCTGTGCTGTGACACACTGCTGGTGTCACTATCAGTCCCCAGGCAGACACCAAAGTGCAGTGAAGCCTGTTAATACAGGTCACTGAAACTCCAGACATTTTGACTGCTACAGAAGGTGGTCACTTCAAGTAGCATGAGCACAGGGAGAAAAAAAAACAAGGGAGAACTTGAAGGTCATTTTCCTCTCTATATTGCCACATTGCTTTTCCTGATGTGGCCCCTTACCTCACATGTGACATTTTGTGGCTAAGGTGTAGTCAAATTTCTGGTATGCTAACATAACATTCGACTGCCTTCCTCTGCATTCTTGTAATTAACTCCTAATATTAAAGCGGTTTCCATCTCTGGATTCCTCAGCAAGCTGATTGAAAGGCAATTTAATTGCACAGCATTGCCAAGAAACATGTGAGGTGATTGCTGGCTGTAATAGCAAGTAATGTGAAGGTAATAGAAGGTATCACAGGGACTAAGATTTTGCTGGCCATTATCAGAGGTGACTTCAAAAAGCAGATGATAATTAGTATAGATTTCACTGAACCAAGTTTCCATCTGCTGCTAGTCACTGGATTTTGAGCTGCTCTCTTATTAAAAATTTGCATGTATGTTCCTGGATTCTCGATGGAAAGGACACTTAGGGGGAAAGGGTATAAATCAACAAATAACTGTGTAACCTGCAGAAATATAAATCTATGTAGATTAATCCATGTTTCCTAAATTGCATACTAGATTGTAATTCAATCAAAGGGTAGGGGTCCTGTGACATTTATGAACATTTATAGATGGTATGAGTGCTCAGATTAAATGTCAAACCCGGTATTGAGTTTAGAATCATGTATTACTGTTATTCATTAATATATAAAAACAACAATTATATCCACTAAAATCCTCAATTTAATTTTGCTGTAATCTGTCTCAGATGTGTCAGAGATGCAGTGCAGTCTCTTTGCCTCCTCAGATAATTTAAAGGGCTCCACTGAATTTCAGCCCAGTCTGCTCTTTCCCCCAGTATGGCACTGGCTCCATTTGGCCCCCCTTGAATTGAGAAATTCTCTAGTAAATTTTTTTTCTTTCTCTTCCACTGAGATTAAATTTTAGTTTTCATACTGAGCAGGCGTAGAGCACCCAGAAGGGGAGGAGAGGCAAAACTGTGGATCTTAGATACAGTTTACTGAGACTATTACACACGATAATGCTGTACCCCTCACTGCCTCCGTATCAGTAAAGAGTGAAAATGCTTTGAGGCAAAACAGTCATTTTAGGATTATCTAAATTTGTTGTCCGTCCTTCAAGCCTGTTTCTTCCCAGTCTGGGGCTAAAGGACTAACATTGCTCACCTGGCTGTGCTGCATTACATCAGAGAGATCCTAAATCACTTTGCAAAAATGGAGCAGAATCACTGTCCCAATTTACTGCTAAGAAGGCACTTGAAGCAGGTTAACTCAAGCCACTTAGTGAATAAAGTGTAAGAAGCAACTGAATGCCAATTGCAGAAATGACTTTGGCACCTAAGATGTTAGTGCTGTTGAAAGGAAGCAATGCTTAAGCTAACAAAGGTAATATATTTCATCATGGTTTACAGCCAAAATTTTGCTGACTTTCAATGGACTTCAACATGAATGCCTCAGTCACTTTGGAAAATTGTAGTTAGCATCATAATCTATTATCTGCTTATATAATGTAACTCATACCATGGGTTTTCACCATCTTAACTTCCCATAAATAGAAATTCATCAGTGTTTAGGAACCTTATTAAACTCAGAGGGACTAGATTCCTAAATAGCCTTAACATATAGACCTTGCTTGTCTCTTAGTCTTTGTGATTTAAATGGAATTTATTAATGTAGCAAAGAAAGAGAAAAAGAGAAAAATCTAACAGTGAAGCAAGGACAGGTTTAAGATTAGCCCTTGGATGTTCTGTTCAATGGCCAAAACATCTTCCAAGTAATAATGATTAATTAACTCTAGGAATTCAATCTAAAAAAAAAAAAAACAAAAACCAGTAGATTCCATTTGTCCATTCCACCAAACAGAGCCATAGTGGGTTGAAAACAAGCGACGTAATTAGAGACAGGTAACTATTCTGCTTATAACATGGAGACATGGGGAAAATGGTCAGATTTCTTCAACTTCATTTTCTTACGTTGTTATATAATAATATGTCTTGAAGAAATCTACTGTGTTAATCTAATGTAATTAGGTTAAATGTCTCTAGTGGCCAACAGTGCCATATGATAAGAAGTTTCACCCCAGCATTTTAATGGTTTGGGTTCTGCTCATGGTTTCAATTAAGTCAGCATAATTGCACAAGGCAGTGAGAACAGGATTTGGCCCATTTTTCTCCCGCATACGTGTTCTGCAGTTATCTAACCTGGAATGAATCATAGACACATGTTGTTTTTCCAATACTTTACAGGGAAAGTTTTGTTTTCATATATTTTCTTTTGAACAAAACTGATAACCAAGTTTCCGGATCAGGTGCAATAATTTTTAAAAGTACCATGTTTCAGTTCTGGTGATTTTGCCGCATTCGAGTTTGCAGCTTCTAGTACATTGTGCCTGTCTATAATTTAATTACCCTAAAGTTTTAATTAGGCAGGACAATCTTGTTAATTTCTTAGAGCAGATTTGTTGGTAATATTTGTGTAAGTCATTACTCAGCACTTCCATAATCTCAGGCTATAATTTGTAGAATTCTTTGGCATCCATGTTGTCAAAATTGCTTGATTCTTTCCCTTAAGAGACTTTGTTTTATGTTGCTTATAACAGAGCCAAACTCTAACCTCAGCGTAAAATTTTCCATTCTCTGGTTTGTTTTTTGGTTTTTTTTTCCTCTATACTGGATGCCTCCCACTTTTTCTTTTCTTCCTTTTTTTAAACTCTGGGACTCCAAGGCACATTCTTTGGCTCAGACCTCTTGTCACAGGTTCTTTCCTGGTTTGTAGCTCACTGTCCATCTGCCCAACTATTAATATTACACGATTACCAGCCTCTAACAGTGCTTTACTATCATCTATTACAGATGAGTCCACAGACTTCCATGGGTAGGTCTTCAGGAGAAATGTAAGAGAAAAATAAGGGGTACATGCTTAGGAAAGGAGATTTTTCTCCACCAGGAGAACTTCCCTGTTACAGTTCATTAGAATAATGGATTCTTAAAAGCAAGATAGTGACATTCTCTTCACCAGCTTGATCTTGCCCTTCCTTTCATTTTATTTCAGCTTTTCAGTCTGTGCAGAATCCATCCTGTCTTCTGTCTCATGCAAATATTCCTTACATGTGGGAGTAGTCAGCTACTTTAAAGAGAAATTTGCTGTTAAAAGGGCCTCTCTGGGTGGCCTGTCCTAAAAATGCTGTAAGCATCTTGTTTCCTGCCCTGCAGTTTTTAGGATTGTCTGCACTTTTTGCTGTATTTCCTCCACCTCCCTTGCAAGCCAAGCAGTGGATTTGTACAAATGCTTTCTCTCACACTCTCCTCTACCAGGACGATAATTCCCACAAATAGTAGCTACAACTCTGAACGGATTTTCTGCCTGCCTTCCCTCTCTAGCTCTCTCTCTCTCCTGTGACAGCTTCTCTCTTTCCCTTCACTCTCTTAACTCAGGTTTATATTTCTCTGAGTTTTTGTAATGCTTTGTGGAATGACAGAGCTAATCTCACCCTGTAACTAGATAGGAAGCAGAAGTTGAGGGCCATGTCTTAAGTGCTGAAGTACACCACGTGGAGCCGATGGTTGTTTTTCACTGTGCTCCTGGTCCCCTGATAGCAATCTTCTGGAGAGCACTGTCTGGCCTGACTACCCAATTTTTTTTTTTTTTCAGTTTGGCAAAGAGAAGGGGAGACAGGACTGATTTGTAGTATTTGAACATTTGGGGAGCATCTGCCTTTGTTTTCTGTGTCCAACAGGAGTGTGTCTTCTTGTTACAATTCAGAGCATCAGGCTTTGATTAATTTTGTTTATTGCTTCATCCCAGGTTATTATGTTTTGGAAATAAATATGGAAATAAATATGTTGGCAGTAAAGCTTAGATACTCCATAGTAGACCTGTAGTCTACCAGAAGTTTGCAAACCTTTAGCCATTCCACTTTCATGCAGTCGTTTTTTTATTAGGGGGTCTCAGGATAACAAATCAATCAAGTCCAAGATACTGTGTTGACAGAAGGAACTAAGACAGCACAATTCTTTCTGTGCAGCTATCAGCTGTAATGTAAGCATTCTCAGCCCTAATAATAAGCCTAACCCCTCTTCTGTGAAGGTCATGATCAAGAAAGCGAGTTCTGTTTCAGAGTCCTGTATCATCTGGCATGACTGCTAAGAAGGATGCCGTTCAAATCTGGCAGTGTTTTTGTGATAAGACCATTTGTCCATAGGAGCCACAAGCCTGTTTCACGGAGACTGTTGAACAGTCACCAGAGGATATTTAGTTTCTGCTGGCCTGGAATTATCCCAGGACTGAAAAGCTCTTCAGCTATTACCAGTTTTCTCAGCTACATAGTTCTGGGGTCAGTTAGTTTCAAAATTTCCAAGATCTGTATGTTTGTGAATTTAAAACTTTTTTTTTCCCCCTCTCCTGTGGGAATTGCCACCGTCTGTAAATCTCCTTGATCCCTGTTTTATATTGTTATATAGGTATAATTTAGTGTGTTTATTAACAATTTGATTTCGTTTTTTCTTTCTCTCTTCTCAGATCACTAACAATCAGTTTGTGGCCTTTCTCTGGAGGAGCCTTTCCTTATCTCTTGTGTAAGTATTTATAACATTTTATACTTTTCATTGATATAAGTTGTACCTTTTCTTCAAGTTCCATCAAAGTCAGCCCAGCGCCTCTGTTGCTTCCCATGGTCACAGGACTCAATACTGAATTTTTATTTTAATGAAGTCCAATATTTTAATGCAGTGCCACCTTATGGGACTCAGATTTTAGTTCAGTGACATTGTGTGATTGATTTATCTAGAATTTATATGTGCATTTCTAGATGTCAATATGGAAGATTTCTGTTTATATATGCGGATATACATGTTCTGATGGACATTGTGCTGTTGTTTTCTAGTTCAGAATGAAATATAAAGTATTCCATGCTGTGCAAGTGCAAAACAGTTACAGAAAACAGTCAACTAGCATTTCAGCCTGTCCATACTGAAGTTTGACCCTGTGGTGAGGGACCCTTCCTTACCCAGTCCTGGCTGCTCTCCAAGCTGCTCTTCTTATCTGAGTATATTAAATGTTCTGTATTCTTATTGACATCCAACAGTATCAGGATTAAAGATCTGTCAGCAATTTTTTTGGAAGGTGTTATGAAGGGTTCTTTTCTCATCTAGTCACATTCATTTGAGTTTGGCTGCTGCTATGTAGATTGGTGATTCGCTGGCCTTTTTAACTGAAGAAAATCCTATGTTTATCCAGATAATTGTGTTTTCAAGACCCAGAACAGGAAGAATTAATTTTTTCACAGTTTAAGTTTTGTTTTTTTTCCTTTTTGGGGGGAATAAGGGATGGAGCCTTTTGGAGTGTTTGTTTGTTATCATTTGAGTTTTAATTTTGTCAGGTTCTGACACACGATGGTTTTGCGCATTTGGAACACAAACTCACATTTTTCTGGGATTCCTTCATACATATTGGCAGTGAAATCTAGTGATTTTGAAACAATGACTCTTCTTGTTGAAATATAAAGGGAAATATAGCACTACCACTTCATAATATTTACTATAGTTAAGTAAAGACAGACCAAAGTTTTCCAAAAGTCCACCAGCATTTTAAGCCACTGTTTTGGGCTGTCCAAGCTGAAGCTATTTAATGAATGCCAGAAATAATAATGGCTTTTAAATTTAGGTTTAGAACTCCACATCCAAATATACCTGGACTTTGTGTTACTTCAGATCTCTAGTTTGCAAATTTAAATTCATGTCTCCTACCTGTTCAGAGAGAAAAGTAGATGACTGTTAAAGTGATGACTGGAATTAAAAAAAAAAAAACAAAACAAAACAGTAAGAGAAATAGCTCTTTCATATTTGGGACAGGAATTAAACCTGCAAATCTCTAAATTTATGTTCAAGTTGTATTTTGATTGTTGGGTTTTCTTTAAAGGAATGAGAAAGTGCAAATGGACATTCTAATTTTTTCAAGGTGCTTGCTGAAACCACAAAAGAGCTTTCTTTTCCTGATACTAGACCTAAAATACGTGGCTTTAACATTTAAAGTTGACCCACTACTCTTGCAGTGCAGAAGGAAATGGCACGCTGCCTTCTCCCCCACCCTGTGGGCAAAAAAGATGAGATTTGCTGCAGTGGCTGCCAAAGGTGGTGTGACAATGCCAGCTCCCAAGGATACATATTTAAGTTGACCTATCATGCCTATGGTGTCCCCATATTTCTTCCCCTTCTCCTTTGCCTTTCATTATAAGGTGTCCCAAATCTGTAATTTACAACATGCTGCTCCAGTTTTGCTCTGATATATTTGCTACAAATAAGTAGGAGCCTATGCATGTCCATAGCTGCCCGTAGCGGTGTCAGGCCTGCGAGATGAGGGGAGCAGAGGCGCCCACAGAATGCAACATGGCTTATGTCTAATGTGACATTTATTTGACTCAGAAAGGCAATTGATTAAAGGCCCATTGGACCTTTGACATCATGTATTATGTATTTATCCAGCAGGGGCAGTTTATAACGGCCCCTGACAAATCCTATTACTTTTGTTGCAGTACTTCATAATATCAATAAAAAGCATTAATGATACTCAGGAATGGGAAGCGTTAATACCGCTTATGTTAACGCTTCCCACAGCAGTGGCAAAACCATTTATGTCTGTGGCAGACACTGTGTGCCTTCAACATTTGCACAAAGACACCAGTTAGCATTGTTCTAGCTCTGCAGGGCAAGGCAGTTAGGTGGAAGCAGCAAACTGGCTTCATGATAGGTAGGCATGTGGAAACCTGAAGCTGAAATCCTTCTTCGACATTTGTTGTTTCCCATCTGGCTGCCTTTGTTTCTTGACAGGTAGGATTAGAATCACATGCTCTCTTGCTTCCCTAAGTCTGGCTTATTCCATGGCCAAGAAGGGCTTCTTAGTGCTTCTCCATTTCTAAATTAGCGAGTTCCATGGGACCTCTACTGTATTTCAGTCATGTTTTGTTCTGTACTGGCTCTCCCCTTTCCCTCTGGAAGACAGGTCCTTCACTTTTTGGTAACAGAAAAAGTGTAAATGGGGCATTTTTACATTAGAAGCTTTTAATGGTACCTGACAAGCATGTTTCTGAACTAGAAAAGTGATTTGTTCTGCCCTCTGTGTCCAGCACTGGGCTCTCTTTTCATATCCTTTCTCACAACTTGCTGATGATTCAGTCTTCATCCTTCTCCCAGATGTTACATACATGTCTGCCTAATTATATTGCATCAGGGTTTTGGAGGTGGAAGGATTTAATAGATCTCACCCCCAAACTATATTCCCACTTAAGAGGAATACAGTTAATCTCTGCTCCCCTTGAATGTCCTCAGGACTTTAAGAGACACAGGTGTATTATTTGTCAAAATCATTATTTTCATAGAAGAAGTCTTCCAACCAGCCTGTAGCATCATGGAAATAACTAAGGTACTTTCCAGTAGGAGAGATAGTTACCTAGGATAAACAGCTACAGCAGGACACTTATTTGACTTGCTGAGCACTAGCTGTTCAGATGGAACCCATACAATATTGAAAAGTTATCTGCTATTAGCGTTGGTAAGTGCAAATCAGAAGCACACCAAAGTCATCCAGATACAAGGAAGTTGTAGGACATGTTAACCCAGTTCCATGGATATCTGTCCATCTTGTTTAAATAGATTTCTGATATAACCAGGTTGTACTGAGCTCCAGCATCATTCCTGTCAGACTGAGCACTGATTCTAATTCTTGTTACTTTACATCCTGGTTTAAAAAAGAAAAAAAAATAACAAAAGGAAAAAGAAAAGGAGGGGAAAAGTGAAAAAAACTGCAATTTATTCCCCAGCTTCATGAAGATGTATTTGGTCAAGTAATGATGACCTAAGGGATGCTGAGAGGCATCTTACTGATCTCATCATAGTTATGAGAACCATCCATCAAATGGTCAGTGATTTGTATGTCAAAAGACACCCATCAGTATTCCAGCCTGCCAGTAGCCAGTTTCTGAGAATCCCTATTGACTTTATCAGATATGATGATGCTCAAATAGTCTTTGATATCGCTGTATATGTCCCTGCTTTGGTACTTGTTCACCACAAAACTGTCATCTGTTACCACTCTGAACCATTATCATCAAATAGCAACTAATTAGCCCCCTCTGAATCCCTTTATCTGGTTCTGTGCTTAGTGTTGTTTTGCAGATGAGGAACAACAACAGTGATTGCTGCATCAGGAGCAGGGAGGAAGCATCTTTTCTCTTAGGTTTCTTAAGAAGTTCTCCCTTACTTGAGAAGAGGATAATAACCTCCTGAACAAGCTTATTCATGAATCAGAAATGAACATTTGTAAAATGCCAAAAAAGTCTATATGTAATAAGCCTTATGTTTACAACAGCTTTCAAGAGTTAGCATTTTTCAAGAATTATCATAATTAATGTAATAAATAGGCATGTAAATTATCCAGAAGAATTAGTTGACCTGCTTCTGAAAATAAGGAAGTTTAGGAACGGAATGGTCACCTAAACAGCAGTCTGAGACAGGAAAGGAATTTTTTTTTCCCCAGCTATTATGTGTCTCCTGAAGGGAAGGGAATGTTCCGCAAAAGAAAACAACATGGGCAGAGGCAAATGAGAGAAGTGGTGAAACAGCCTCGAAATGGCAGCAGAGCTGAAATTCTACTCTGGTATATTTATAGAAATGAAACCGTATAACTGAGAGTACACCTTGGGATGAATGTTCTTGAGCAGTGCCACAATTTTTTTATCTGAAGATGTAGCCATCAAAAAATCAATACATGTGCAAGGAAAAAACACCCTAATTATTTAAAATAAATCTGTCAAAGTTCACAGGTTTGTTTAAAAACATCTGTCATAAAAACAGACCAAATATCCAGAAAACTCAAGACATAGCCAGATTTACCAAAAGGGGCAAAATTTGGTCCTAGTTTTTCATTCAAGCATTAGTTTAAATGTTGACATTCAAATTGTTTAGCAAGTATTAAAGGCTGCACATAGCTATGAAGTTGATGTGTGGATTACAGCAGAGGCATGTGTGCAACCTGCCCGCTCATTGCAATACCTACAATATATCCACTGGTGCTGGATGAGATTGAACTCAAGATTGGTCAGCATGACAGCTGAAAATGTCAGACCTTTCTGCCATTATGCATACTAGCAATCTCTTTGTTCTGAGTGATTTTTCATTTGCTTAGTGTAATATAATGCATTGAGTGTTAGCTATTTTTGAAAGATTACACAGTACAACAGAAAAAAAAATAGACTTTAACTAGACAGTTGTAGGAGCATAATACTTTAGTTCTAACTAGAAAAAAGAAGGAGACAGAGAGAAAATAGAGTTGTTCAATGAAGTTTTACCCCACACTGGCATAATTTAATATATTTGGATAGAAAAGACCACCTTTCTCAGTGGCAGTAGCAGTAGCAGCATTTCCTACAGCAGTTTGAATGTCAGCCATCAAAATATTAAGACAGACAAGTTTTTTAGGTCAAAGTCACTGTGCAAAATGGAAACAACTACAGAGTGTAGCAGAGTTTTTCAGAATATTCCCTTTGTAGTTATGGTAAATTATCTTCCAACTTTGGCAAGCA